GAGAGAGAGAGAGAGAGAGAGAGAGAGAGAGGGGGAGAGAGAGGGAGAGAGAGGGAGGGAGAGGGAGAGAGAGAGAGAGCAGGAAACTAGTGCGTGGTGGCTGGGGGTGTAGGATGCACGGGAAGAGGGTAAGGTCAAGGGTGTACGGTCACGTGAGCGAGGCCCCAGGCCATCCCCTCGTGACCCACAGTGTTGCACAACCTTACCACCAACCCTTGTAGTTACCGTAATACCCTCCCCCGAGCACCTCAAACTAGTGCGCCATTTTCTTTGCTCCCCTGCGGCGTTTCCCCGGCGTCCTTCACGTCGTTTATTTCCTCCCCCCCCCCTCCCTTCACTGCAACATCAGTTCGGTCTGCTCGGGCTATTCTGCGCTAGGGTTGGGGTAGTGTACCGTGTGTTTTTAGACAATCCCCTAAAGACTGTCTCTACCATAAGGAAAAGTCGCCCCCTCCTCCCCTCCTTGTTTTTTTTGAAAATATCTTAATGAATTTTCCGGGCGCATACTTTGTTTTCATTTAACGCGATTATGTACAAATTTCTCGAAATTTCTTCATTCAGGCGTATTAAAGAAAAGAATACAAGCACACGGAAATTTAAGAGCCATGAATGAATCAGTCCATAAAAAGTTTAGTGTATACTGCCTTACATTCGCCCCTAAGGCGCCATCATGGTCCTTGCGTCCCAAACGAGTCTGCAGTCATTCAAAGAAACACCCGGTACACACCAACAAGTAGTGGGATGGGCGAGGCGAGGCGTCTCCCCTCCGCCCTGTAAAAGTCATAGCCTCAAATTAATGGGATTAACCCTCGGTCTGGGCCGGTCGGGTCGCCGAGGGAGGTAAAAAGGCGTCATGTAGAGTCCATGCAATGCGGAGTTCGCACCCTGGGAAGTGACTAGGTGGGGTAGGAGGGTTGGAGGGCAGGGTCAGTGCAGGTTAGGGCGGCGCAGGGCGTGGTAGGGCCGGGGGCAGGATCGGGCAGGGCAGGAACAGGACAGGTGTGACAGGAGTGGAGTGGCAGAGGCCACACAGTCTCGATACACTCTTTGAGCTCAGTCAGGGCGGGCCACCACCTCCACGCAGCTGCTTGGCGGGTAGGCCTACCCAGCACATTGCAGGCGCTACCATAAGCGCGGTCGCAGGAAATGTCTATCGCATCTTAAGATGAGAGTACAGATAGCAAGAAGTAGTCGTACTGTACAGTATTCAATCCGGGACAGGCACGGGTACATCTGTGTGCACAAAGAACGCCTCCATACTTCTTCCTCACAAGAATAACTAACTTATACAGCCCCGATAAAGTCAACGTTACCCGACTAAACAGACTTTTGACAGCGCTAAACTCATACAATAATACCCACCGAATCAGTCGAAGTTACTCTTTTTCGAATTAATTTAAAAATGTGTTGCGGCGCCTTTGTGAGACGGCCCCTCGTGTCCAATCAGCGCGCGGCCTTGCATCCGGCGCTAAAGGCGAACATTGACAAGGCACGGCTATAAAGCTCCGCGCAACGGGATCCTCTCTCTGCAAAAAAAAAGAAGAAAACAAAATATGATCAAAGAACGCTTACGATGAAAGTTACACTACACTAAACGGTTATAGGGAGATTTTTCTCAAGTGCTTAGTTGTGTAGAATTTGTATTGATAGTGTAAGCTAGGAGTAATGTTTTAATACGCGTGTTAAAAAAAAGTGCACATATGATGTTAGTAATGTCATTACAAGTGATGAATAATTCGTCATCCGTGCGGTTGGAAAAATCGAACGTGGGATCTCATCTCTCACAATGTGACATGCGTTGATAAAATAGAAACGCCTGAGTACAGAGGCTGGATGCCTGGCGTGTCTTCGGCCTGTCATCGCCTTGACGGGGAATGCGAGAGAGAGAGAGAGAGAGAGAGAGAGATAGAGAGCGGGAGGTGCGCCAATGCAAATCTCATTGTCTGTCTCTATGTACACCCTTATCAATTAGACAATTATAAAAAAATAAAACTCCAGCCTTGCCGCTCCTGAAACGGGAGCAGAGCGTTGCCGGTGCCGGAAGGTCTCTCGGTTGCATTGTCTACACGCTTACGTACGAAGGTCGCGGTATTACAGCCCGCTGCCGGACTGGACCAGAACGGAGCTGGAGCAGGCTGGAGCGGGCTGGAGCGGGCTGGAGCATGAGAGAGGGCTGGGGGCACCGCACCTGTGCTAGTACGCTCCCGCCCCGCTCCCGCCCCGCTCCCG